ATAAAAACTTTTCTTCTTTTGGAAAGTAGAAATTAAAGTCCACAAAGGTCAGTTTATATAATATAAACTTAGTAGAAAATCTTAAAAAGTTCTTGTTAAATTAGTGTTATCAAAATGAGTTGGGAATTATTAAATTCAACACCCTTTCAACATTTTTATGGCTCAAGTTAGCTTGATTTATATTATAACTCTTAAAAACTTTCCTAAATACTTTACAGTAAAATGAATAGGAAGTAACTGTAAAAATCTTTGCCTCTTCCTGTTGTAGTTGATTTCGGTAATTTGTAGATTGCTGCTTTATATGAAGCTCTGAGGCTTCATGCTTCTCTTCCAGATCAGTACAAAGTTTTTTCAGTCTTTCATTCTAGAAAGCAAAGAAAAAAGTATTTTCATCAAAAAGACTGTAAGTTATGGGCATGGCATTATGAAAAAATATTGCCTCATATAAAAAATGATGTAAAAATATAAAAGGTCTCAGGCAGAATTATGGCCATTAAAATATACTTTCAAATTACACAAATGCATAAGCATGTTTATACAGAATAAGCCTAATTCTAAACCAAAGAGGGAAAATTAACATTTTGCCCAGTTTGGTTTTCTGCTAAGAAAAGCTGCTGATTGATGTTTCTCCCATCTTTATATACCCGATGTCTAGCATATAATACAAGTCTAGTAAATGAATGGATAGGTTACCTGTTTGAGCTTCTGTTTTTTCCCCAAGCAGCAGAACTTTTTTAAGACATTTTTTTTTTTCAAAGATTTCTGGCTGAATTACAGATAGGAGGCTAAAGCCTCACATGACTTACTTGCCTTGTCCCCCAGACTCCCTGAGGCACCTCTGAAAAATCCAATTTGAAAATCACTACTGGGATTGTTTGAAAAACTACTGTTAANATCAAATTCCCAATAGATTAAACAATGAAGCTCTATTTTAAATTTTATATTTATCTTTAATTTGGTATACTTTTATTTTTAACCTTAGCATGTCACTGAAGGTACCAGAAATCAATATATCTAAATTGAAAACACCTAAATATGAAGTTATGGTACACATGAACATTTAAATCAACAAACTGAAAAACACCCAAATGATCTGGCTAATAAAATGGTTAAATTCAATACAAGTATAAGTATTTATTGGACTCCACTTATGTACTAAACACTAAAGAGAATTCAATAACAGCATGACACATGGGGACGCAGTCTACATTTTAAGGACTCGGGATCACAGTGGTTATATCAGACAATATCTATGACCAGCAGTGCAAATAAAAGATAAGCCAATTTCAAAACAACCATTTCAATCAAACTAAAAGAAAACAAAAACATTTATAAAACAGAATAATTATATTTAATGTTCTTTTTCATGGAAAATCAAGTACATGCCAATACAACAAATAATAACAGTTGTAATCAAAAGCATTTTAAAAAGTCATTAGGAATAACCACACTGACTTAAAACAACTTAAGAAAATATGACAAATTAAAGTTTCATATAATCAGAAATTACAAGCAACAGATGCCTGAAGACATTTTACATAAAAACTTTTCTTCTTTT